TGTGTCCCATTTCTCGTCAGGTTTGATGTGTTTTGGTTGGAGCAACATTGATTGGGGTGGGGGGAGGGGAGCGGTATTGTGTGTAAAAAACTGTAGTGATCCACTTACAATCTAAAACTACATGTGCGCCATATGCCATAACACCATTATATATCTCAAACGTACAGGGGATAGAGCGAAGTATTTCTGCTCCATTTCGTTCACAGAAGATCTAAGATCTATTTTCCTGAGGTGACCCCCCTTTCACATCACTATTTTTTCTGGTGGCCCCCCTGCAAAAACCACCAGCTCCCCCTCCTGATGAAAAATGAACGGTCCCTAAACTATTTACAAGAGGTTGGCTAGGAGCCTACTAGAAACCATATGTGATATGGCTTTTGTTTTAGGTCCCTAGGTTATAAATTTAAACTAATTAGCAATGAAAATGATATGCAGCATCACAGGGCTTTTTAAGGTTATTATAATTATAATATTACATGAATGTATTCAACACTATTCGTATAATTAATCTATAATGTATGCATGCAGAACTATATATATTAACTAAAATAATTGCCAATAAGATATATGATAATCAGTTTACTGAATTTAGATTTAATTAATTTGTTACATTTTTTTCGTTCCCGACAAAGATCACTTGAAGATAACTTTCTTTCTGAAAACTGCCGTCGTTGTCACCAGTAGATGTCTCCAAAAGCCGGTTACCTGGAGACTTATTTTATAAAGAAGACATAAATACAGTAGATACAAAATGCGTATAACTATTTGATTAGGAACCATGTCTCCTTTTGTAATGCCCGCGTGAAGTTATAAGTATAGGTAATAGCATGGTTTCGAGTGCAATTTGGATATAACATGCATAAGTGATCATGAGTTTTTCAAAGACCTCAAAATAGCACGAGTCCGAAGGACGACGTCTATTTGAGATCTTTGAAAAACTCACGAGTGCATGTTTATCCAAATTTCACGTGAAACCATGCTATTATATACGTATTAATAATTTACATAAAAATGTTCGAGACAATTGTAGTTTTAACTTACACGTTTATAGCGAACATTCCACTGGCAAAGTTTTCCTGGCTTTGTTATATCACATTATACAACGCTATTAAACAGCTTGAAAATTCCACTCAACTATGTATTTTTTGTTAGACGGCTTGTTTAAGGTAAATGCTTTTCCATTTAAAAATAAAGATAAAAGCCATATTTTCCACGCGAAGGCAACTTTTACTTTGTGTAACGCGGCGCCATGTTTGTTTTGTTTTGAAGCAATCTGTGACCGTTACTTCTTTAATTAAACTAAATTGCTTTAAACTGATTGGTTGATTTAATCATCACAATGTTTTTCCACCAATCAGATCAGTTTGTTACAGACTTGTGTACTGTGATTACAGAAAATTGCACTGTGATTACAAAAAATTGCACTGTGATTACAGAAAATTGCGCTGTTTGGGATTAACTGCACTGAAATCAACCAATCACAGTCGAGTAATATCTTTATGTATATTATTAATCCGGAAAACAGAATTTCAACAGTAAACTGCAGAGTATAAAAGAACGCTATATTATTAATTAATAGCCAGGATGTTCTCATGCAGTATCCTTCAAAATCCTTCTCTTCTTTGTTCTCGGGAATAGAGGGAAAATATACGACTTGCACATACAAATAACATAATATCTATTTAAAAACATTAATAACTTCTTATTAACCGAACGCGAGGTAGGCAGAGAAATATCGGACCAAGGTCTTTTTTGTGCAGACCGAGCCCGTAGGGCGAGGTTTGTACAAACAGACCGAGTCCGATATTTCTCTGTAAAGACCAAGCAAGCGAGGTTAATAAAAAGTTTATTATATGGCATTTATAGGCATTTATACTTAAAACAAACAAGAAATACATGATTTGAAATGCATATTAGTAGCGTGGTACATACTTGGTCGAAGAAACAAAAACTAGCAAAGTATTCCTTCTTTTCCACTAAAACCATTCACAGATATCTTATTAATAACAAAGTAAATTATATTTCAATTAGTTTTGCTGCAGGGCCTCTTTTAAGGATGTGTAACTGGGGGCGGCATATTTAGCGAGTGACCTGGAGAAGTACCAGTCTAGCCTGTGTATAGCAGGCGGTATTAGAAATACCGCCTGCCCAAAAACTACACATTCTGAGTTCCGCCCACCGAACGCATGGTTCCGCCCATCTTAGGTGCTGATTACATGGACCGGGCCAGCCCAGTTAACCGGGCTGAAAAATGTCACGAAAATCTTCTTTGGGCCGCAAAATGAGTTTTAAATCGGGTTTAGGATGATTTTGCATCTTTAATAAACCAATTATTTATCGCAAATTTATTTTACGCGAGTTTTAAAACCACAGTAAGGTCCTAAACAAACGAGTCAGCCCGGTTAACCGGGCCAGCTCGGCACCATGTAATCAGCACCTTACTGTAATGACTTATTTATTTGTCAAACTCTTCACCAGTGCAAATATACGGCTTTGACGTTTCATATCTTCGGTTCATTTAATGCAATGAAGACAAAAATACCACGTTCGATCCAGTGTAACAATATGTCCTCATTCATAGCGATAGTTTTAGTCGATGTCAACATTATAGCGATTTATGAGCTTTGAAAGTCAAGCGAGTTCGTATATTATCAAATTACGCAATTATCTGAACAAAAATATAGACTAGCCATACCTTTCGCCGAACATAACTTAGGCCCCTTCGGACGTATCTTCTTTGTAATAGTCCTGTTCGAATCGCTATCAAAAACACTACTTAGAGTGTCATTTACGAGCCTGTATCTTCAAATCTGCACTTTTATCACGCTATCTCTATCAAGCAACAAATGTTGGATTGATATTCGTTGTTCATTCTTCAAGACGATGGGATTACCGATTCCAGATAAAGATTAAAGAATTCAACGCTTAATTATCAATTAAGTTAGTGTATGCCATCTCTCGATACTCTTGCTCCCAGTGAACTGCGAAACGACCGTTTTTTTAGGCGCTTTGTCAGTGACAGTTTTGTCAATTACGAAGGACATATTTGTGTACCTCGTGATCACAATTCGTTGCAAGCGGCGTGTGAAAAACTGCAAGTTTCAGTTTGACAGTTAAATGAGTTTCTAATTTTATTGTCCAATCAGATACGTAGTTTTGGATTTTAAATCAAAACTACGCACTTGATTGGACAGTAAAATTAGAAACCATTTAACTGTCATAACTGTCAAACTGAAACTTGCAGTTTTTCACACGCCGCTTGCAACGAATTGTGATCACGAGGTACACAAATATGTTCTTCATAATTGACAAAAACTGTCACTGACAAAGCGCAAAAAACCCCCGGTCGTTTCGCAGTTTACTGGGAACAATAGTATATCAGTATCAATTACAATCTCGAAACCAGAGCCCGCAATCCTCTATGGAGGCTTGCTGAGCAAGCCTCCTCAGAGGATTGCAGGCTCTGGTTTCGAGATTGTATCAATTACGAAAATAACAATAGTTTATAATACCGCAACAGTAACTTCTAAAATTATCACTAATTACTCTAATTCTTTACTCCTGTCAATCAAAAATTCAAAATCAACATTCTGACCAATCAGAATGCTCCGTCACCCAGCTGCCGGAGAACTCAGAATGTGTAGTTTTTGGGCAGGCAGTATTTCTAATACCGCCTGCTACCTTGCTACGCAGGCTAGTTCCAGTCTTCAAGTCTGTATCACTGCAGCTACCAGCATATATTGCATGCTTTAACTAATAAGTATACGTCATAGGGCAGTAGATCAGACCATAACTATATAGGATTCTGAGACAACCGAGTCGACTAACGAAGGTGCGAGCCTCATTAGGGGTTTGAGGGCATGCCCCCTCCAGAAAATTTTGAATTTCTTGAAGCTTAGATAAGCTATTTCCGGCATTTTGAGGAGTTTTCCAACAAGAAATTAACCTTATAAACAGTTACACAATTACTGCAATTTTACAGTCGCCCAAATGTAATCCAGTCCCAATAAGGCAACATGGTGTGATGATGCGGTAATGAAAATGTGCGTGGTATAGTATTATCATTCACCACACTTTCTACAGTATACTGTATTACGTGTATTGGGGTACTTGAAATCGACGCATTCGCCTTCTCAGTGTCACTCATGCATGAAGAGCAAGATAGGGTGGTCTCTTTGGAGTTTCTTTGCTTGGAAAAACTAAACTACAATTTCGTCCTAAAATGCCATTTCACGCCTTGTACCATGAGCAAATTATTGCAGCCATGGTTTAGGTTTCTGGCGATGTTTAAATTTCAGTCCCCACATTATGGCCTACCGAGTCAACTGACTTGGTTGACTCATAGCTAGTACGGGCCTGCAGATGATGGTCAAATTCAGAAATGTTAACAACTTAACATCATTTTCTCACTTTGATACATAATTGCTGGTTGACCACCTACTGCAGGTAGTTTTTAGGGACCTCACTAGGGGGGAGGGGAATTGCCGATTGGAGGGGCTAGTAAGAAGGCTGGGGGGACATGTCCCCCAGTCTATATGTTAAAAGAGGTCCTGTTTTGCTGTTTTGTTTCAAAATGCATGCGTTTGTTTACGTAATATGGAACGCCGTTCCATTACGGGAATTGTAATGGACCGCTGAAAGTGCTTCTCAACCAATCACAGTCTGCCATTTCACTGGAAGTGATGCTTGCCATATAATAATATAAATTATATCAGACTATTTAATACAAAAACAGAATTATTATATACTCTGTCTCTGCTATAATTAGCTGAAGCTAGCCGACGGAAATAATTAATTTAAATATTCTATATGGTTTTCGTGCATGGAATTTGAAGATTTCACATCAAATTTAGAATTTTACCATATTCGTATGTGGAAATTAATTTCATATCTGAAATTCTTATTGCATTATAAGTATGTGGAATTGGGACAGTTCACTTGTGAAAAGCATTTTTCGTAAGGGCTTTTAAAAAAATATTTATTGTTTTTAGTCCTCTTACCTGAAAATTCCTTTCATTAGCAACATAATCGTGGAGCATTTTAACCATCATTGCAAAAGATGGACGATTGTCTGGCTGGTTTTCCCAACATTGTTTCATTAACTCGGTGCTGTTAGAATGCAATAAAGAGAATTGCACTTTATTGTCTATTGAATTCATTTAGTTGGCTAATCACGTGAAATTAAATAAAAATTCCCATCTTACTGAGTGAAATGGGACGCGTTCAATCAATCAATCTATCAATTTATATCTGTCTAAATTAATATAAACATACACTAAATAAATATATGCATGTATGACATAGAATTAAAATCACTCAATTCTATATATAAGGTTACCATGATGATCACTTTGTAGCATATACTCGGGAGGTGGATAGTGTTGTTTACGCAATTTGATTGCATGGTTGCTCAACTCCGGATATTCTTGCACTATTCACCTCCACCACAGAATACTACACAGAAGTCCATCTCCATTGTTTTTTGCGTAAGCGTTATTCGTCATGATTCGTCACTCAACAAGTAGAATGACGAATCATGACGAATAGAGTTTACGCAAAAAATAATGGAGATGGACTTCTGTGTAGTATTCTGTGCCTCCACCTTCACAAAAACAAAATGGCTTCCCGTTTCGTACCTATCACAAACGAACAACTTTTTGTACTAAACGAAGTTGTGGTTTCGCCAAACACGAAGAAAGTTTTGCTTAACAGTGACTAGAGGTACTCTTAAAGCTATATTAGTCAGGCAGATAGAGTAACAAAAATTATGGAAAACTTTCCATATCGAGGTCAATTCCATTTTGCCCTCATATTGTGCCCTGAAGGCTGGTAATTAGTATTAAACTCTATTACTGGTAATTTGTATTAAACTGTATGTTACAGTTAAAAAATGTAAAATTTCAAATACATTTCTATTAACAAAAATGACTTACATCATTTGAAAGCTTGCAAAAACGACATTTAAGACATTTAAACGGTTACTAGAGTTTTTCAAGTTCTTCTTGAGTTATGAGCTAGCTGTTGAAAGCGTGTAGTTCAGACTATAGTATCCATGCAGGATTTTTGCGAGATTTTGGCTTATTTTTCACATTTGGAACAGCAATAACTCGAAAATCACTTGAAAATCCCAGCTAACTATTTAAATGTAGTTGGTTAGCTTTCTATCGATGCAAGTCATTTGTATTAGAAATGTATCTGAAATTTCACATTTTTTAACTGTAATACAGTTTAACACAAAATTCGAAGAAAAACATGTCGGCAAGAGCCTACAAGATATTTTAACGCCGCAGACATACAGAAATGTACTTACTAGCCTTCGAATTATGTGAGGGTGAGATGGGAGATTAGATCAGGGTTCGTAAAGTATAACAAAGAACATCAAACCAAGAGGATAGGGTCACTTGTTACCACTTCATAACTTATATTTTACATGAAATAATTGTTACATACATTGTCCAAGGACAACGTGTCGGAATCGCCATTCTTTCACCTGCTAGTAAGTACGTAAACACATCAAGGTTTGATATACCAGGATAAGGGGTTTGACCTATTGTAAACAATCGAAAACTAAATTCAGTCAACAGAATGTAGTATTGTTTCATCAAGGTTTGTCAAGGTATGTAAAAAATCTTTGAGCCAAAGCATGCATGAGACAAATAAAACATCACACGCGGTTAACACATTCAGCCATTCAGGATATTAGAGAGTTTAAGTTCGACTTCCGATACCACTAATACCGATACTAACAACATGTCATACGCATGCGCTTTGCTCGCAAGAAGTACGAGGACAAGTGTATTAATTGGGAGTCACCACTACCGAAGTCGGCCTTGTTTTGGAAGTCGTGGGAATTGTAAGATAAACTCATATAAATCGGATATTTCATAATTTTTACGATAAACACGTAAACTATTTGTTTATTAGCATCGCCTGAGTCATGTTTTAGTCGGAATTTTAGCTCAGCTGCCGTTTAGTATACCGCACATTTTCGGCCGGTGACGATTAATGTGTTCTATACTTTATCTGTCGTGATTACTTAACGCTTTAAAATTCCCGGTACCAAAATGAGAACGGAACTGAAGATATCGGTATCGGTATTGGTATCGGTATCGGAAGTCTAACTTAAACTCTATTAATCAAAACCAGAACGATTAGATAATGAGTGGCACATGATGCTCACTTTCTCACTATTAATAAGCTTTAAAAAACTCATTAATAATTCAGGAGGAAAACACGAAGAAAATCATAAGCGTGTCGTGGTTTTATATGTGATAAAAAATCATGTTAATTTACATAAACTTTAGCTTTGATTTTCTCGGTTTAGACAAAGTTTACTTTAAAAATCATTCGTAGTCGTGTTTTATCACATATAAAACACTCCGCTACGCGTCGTGTTTTATATGTGATAAAACACTCCTACTCGTACTTTAAATAGTACTTACAAAATCATATATATGTAGGCTTAGGCGCTTACCCTATATAATTTTGTGAAACTCATTGATAATTCATGAAGAAAACGCTTGAAGAAATCATGAGCATGAAGGAGTTAACTTTGTATCTGATACAGAGAATTATGCTGATTTACATAAACTCTCTCCAAATATCATTCATTTACTTTAAAATGTTGAAGAATACGAATGCTCTGATCGAGACGTTTCACAAGCTATATAAAGTATATTTGCACGCGTCCGTGTTGTATCAGACATACAACCCGGCCCTTGTCTTCGGCTTGAGTTTGTATAGAGAGAGAATTTACGATGTACGACGCGGTCTGAATTTTAGCTCAAAATGAGCACTAATGCTCAATGCTTTATCTATTACATAAACGTTTGGAGACGGTTGTTTAATTCTGTGGTTTAACTAACGCCAAAATAAATTTCAACAATGTATTGACATGCGCAGAGGATTAGTATAGGGCCGAGGGCGTAATATGCATGATAATGCATCAACTACTTGATAAAAGATCAGTGTCTTAATTTTTTATTCTTCACCTACCCAGTTTAAAAAGTTCCCACAACACAACTCCAAATGACCAGCTATAAAAGTACAGCGAAAAAGATCATTGCGGTAATACAGCTATTATATATATAGAGCTTTGAATATTTTTGACGGATTCAAGCATGCAATTCGAAAGTTTGTTTTATTTTAATTTTTACATTATTACTTCGGTTCTGCCATTCCAGTCCTACGTGAGTCTCGTTGTCAGACCACGGGTCAGACGAAAATATTGACGAAACTGCCATTAGGGACCGGTCATTATTTATGGCGGAGGGTGGCACCGAAGAGAAAAAGGTTGGGTAAACTAAATTTTGAGTAAGTAAAAGGTTGGGTAAATGAAAAACAAAACAACTCAAGGGTTGGGTAATAAAAATTTATTGTCATTTCCAAAGCATGACCCACTGAAATATTGGAGACTGAAAAGCAATGTCAACAGTCATTTGTCAATACAATATGTGAATCAATCAGAGTCACTATCTTCACCCGATAGTTCGACAAAACAAATTGTGTTTCCAAAGAAAGTACATGTGCAGACAACATGAAACTTTAGACTGCAGAAAATTTCACAAGCCATTATCAAACTCATGTCACTGAAGTGATAAAGGACATGTATGACAACTGAATGGTATCCTTTTGTTAAGTTTTTGGCCAGGGGTGGGTAGTTATTTTTTAATTGATATTTGAGGTTGGGTAATCAAATTTTTGTCTTTTTAATGGTTGGGTCAGCAAAATGTTTGACACGGAAAACATTTCTCTTCGGTGCCACCCCCCGCCATAAATAATGACCGGTCCCTTATTACATTAGGGGCCATTTTAACAATTACGTCATCAACAAGAGGGGTACCAAATCTAGTGACAGTTGATTATCTCACCAAAGGGAAACAAAGTCATTCATTAAGTGGTCCAAGCTTAGTAACCATATAAATATAAAATTATATATACACATCTGTCTTCTCTGTAAATACTGAGTACTGGATCGATTCAATTGCCATCCACTTCAGAGGTAGTAAAGTCTAGGAGGACAAACGCATGTATATACGTACTGAAAGTAGTAATATAGGTACCGTTCGACCCGGATTTTCAGGGCGGCGCAGGGCAGCGCAGGGGCGGCGCACATTAAAAATTCAGGGCGGCGCATCATTAAAAATGCAGGGCGTCGCATCATTAAAAATTCAGGGCGTCGCATCATTAAAAATTCAGGGCGGCGCATCATCATTAACATACGTCATAATTATATGCGCAGTGACGTCACTCATTAGTATACATTATAATTATATGCATGACGTCACGCGGGCGAGCTTAAACAGGATCGGACAAGACTTGCTGAGTAGGCATTTTTTTAGCGTCTCGCCACGTCTGTGATACAATGGAGGGATTAAGATTGGCTTACTATGAATTACTCGCATGGCAAAATTGTTATCGAAATTAATATATAGCAGAGTTATAGCCGTATCTTTGCTCGGAAGAGATAAATTTCCACAGGTATATTGAAGGATTTTTCGTATGTTTCATAGCGAGGAATCTATTCGTCACAAAAATCAAGACATATCTTAAACTAAACAGTTGCTAATCCTTGGTTGTCAACGTGGTTGTTATGGTCAATATTTGCATGTTGTTCAACATTATTTAGCAATCCTCCTACAAACATATACTGTATACTGTTAAGATGATCATAAGAAAGCTTATCAAGAGTAGAAGTTGAAATTAGAACAGTTGTAATATTTTTTGACACTATCATCTGTTATTTGTATCAATAAACATGTTTTAAACTTTGCAAATTTGCGTTGATATGCGTTGCTATGCGTTGCTAAATCATTAGGAGGCGTGTAGGTAATTAAGGGGATTAAGGTAATACGAATTTGCATAACTAAGTGTATCCCGATGAATAGATAGGGATTATTTTTAACGCATGCCTTAAAATCAGGCGCGTGGCTTTGCAGGTGCATGCATATATTAAAGTACAACATATTTGTACACTAATCAAGCGGGCGGGTTAGACAAATCCCGCGGGCGGAAAGAGCGGGCCTTGCAGGTAAATGTTTGCACAACATTTCAGTTTTAAAATACATTTATTTCTTCAAAAAGTTTTACAAAGTTATACTTCTAATATATATCGTCACTTGTTTGAGACGTTTCGGTATCAGATTCGTCATCGTAGCTGCTTTCATCTTCCGTAATCCATTTGGTATGTCTTGGGACTGCCATATGAGAACACAGTTTTAACCTCTTTGTAGTTGATAAATTACTGCGTTGGCCTTGCCTTCTCTTACTTCCGCGCCCTGCTTGGTGTAGTAGGGCTTTTGCTCCTTGTTCGGCAAAGTCTTTAACAACGTCACCTCCGTGAGTCTTTACAGATTCTCTAACATTTTTCCCTTGGAGTACATCCATTCTGTGGCTGCTTGTAATGCTCTTTTGCCAACAACTTTAGCACCTTGTTTGAATAGAGGGATAGCATATCTCGCAAGGCTCTTGAAAATACCTCCGATCCCATAACCTCTTTGAAAACGTGCACCGCGATACCCAGTGATGTTTCCGCCACGTTGTTGTCTCAAGAAATGGTCTCTCAGTAGTTTTTCGTCTAAAACAAGTGTACCTCTCGGCATGTTGATGTGTTCAGTTCAACTTCACGCAGTCAACTGATCAAATATCACTTTGGTCACCTATTTTATGGTTAAAAGACTGCCTTTCATCCGTTCTGATATCTATTATTTTACCTTGGCGACAATGTGGACAGCTGGCGATTACATGCGTGAAATCTCCCTTGAACACTTGAAAATCACAGATCATACAGCGACAGCTTTTACAATTCGGATAAAAATCTGTCCATGTGCATACGGGGCACGTACTCAAATGGGAGATGTATATATCTTTGTTACAACTGTTACAAGTTGCGTCAGCATCAGATTGTGTATCCTGATGGGACCACTTGTGGGCTAACACAGAAAGGACATGTCCATTTACGATTAGACTTTTATCAATTTCCAATTCTGCAAGACCTTTTATAAAAATGCTCAATCCAGTTGGTTCGGGAATATCTGGATGATAAGGCGTCACGCAATATTTCAGAAGGTCTACAATGTCAGTTCCTCGTATATTATGTCCTCTGTAAACGATTTCTCCTTTTCCATTCCAAGTCAAAATCCCCGTAGAGGCTAAAATAGAATGAAGGATTTCTTCGGCTTCGTGTTCATCATCAACGTCAAGATATTTGAGAATGTCTTCAAGTCTCCACTGTTCAGGAGATGATCGTTTGTCGCTATCCATGATTGGAATGAGGAGATGCCCTTCATACTTTTTATTTTATACTAATTCTGCAAGGCCTTCTAAAAGTGGTCCAAGTACCAATCCCAGAAAGCCGCTTCCCCGCTGAACAAGAATTTCCTTTTTTCGTCCTAAAACTTCTATTTCTGTCCGCTAAATCAGCTAGATCTTGTTTGAAAGGTCTGAGTTTGTCCTTTGTTTCTTTAGAGTATGTGAAATTTTCTATACAATGACACAAGCATCGAATTTGCTCAGCTGATGTAGAATTAAGAAGAGCTTGCTGTTGAGTTGGATGAGAAGTACATAAGAGCTCTACAAATGGTCTGTGTTTCATATAACTGCTAGTCATCTCTGTTCGGCGGTCAGCAACGGAATGAAGATTTAGTTGGAAATAACACATATACAAGGGTCGGCACGCCCTCTATAGATTAGGTCTAGACAATAGTCTTAATAGTCTTTACTATAGTCTTCATAGTCTTTAATATAATCTTAATAGTCATGACTATAGCCTTCATAGTCTTTACTATAGTCTTCATAGTCTTTACTATAGTCTTCATAGTCATGACTATAGTCTTCATAGTCTTTACTATAGTCTTCATAGTCTTTACTATAGTCTTCATAGTCTTTACAGTCATGACTATAGTCTTCGCAGTCATGACTATAGTCTTCATAGTCTTGACTATAGTCTTCATAGTCTTTACTATATATAGTCTTCATAGTCTTTACTATAGTCTTCTTAGTCTTTACTATAGTCTTCATAGTCTTTACTATATATAGTCTTACTAGTCATGCTTATAGTCTTAATAGTCATGACAATAGTCTTAATAATCATCACCACAGTCTTCATAGTCGTGACAATAACCAACGGGATAAATGTGCCTCTCCACCCTTGCTTTAAATCATTTTACACTGACTCTTGAGAAGTAAACATGTCTTATGAATGCGACATCTGCGGTAAAACGTTTGCAAATGCGACTAATCTCCTTCGCCACAAGAAGGTTGTCCATGCATATGGAACTCATAATCTTGGGCAGCAAACTCTTACGGTGAATGGAGTTACAGTCATGCAGCATCCCTTTACGTGCATCGTTGCAGGATGTACACAAAGCGGCAAAACCGTATGGGTGAAATCTCTCTTGGAGAATGCTCAAACGACTATAAGTCCTACTCCTCAACGTATCATTTGGTGTTATGGTCAATGGCAACCGTCCTATTTTGATATGAGGAGGATAATGCCTGGAATCGAGTTTAATGAAGGCATCCCCGACGATATCGACAATGCGGATTACTTGGACGTATCGCAACGGAATTTGATCGTATTGGATGATCTTATGGCTCAATCTGGCAAAGATAAACGTATTTCTGATCTTTTTACGAAAGGAAGTCATCATCGAAATTTGTCTATCATCTATATTGTCCAAAATATATTTCATCAGGGCAAAGAAATGAGAAATATCAGCCTTAATGCTCACTATATCGTGTTGTTCAAGTCACCAAGAGATAAACAACAAATTTCTATGCTTGCAAGGCAAATAAATCCTGGGAAAGTACAAGAGTTTATGAAGAGTTATGAAGATGCTACGAGCCGGCCTCACGGGCATTTGATGTTGGATTTAAAGCCAACAACAGACGATCAACAACGACTCAAGACCAACGTACTTCCCGGCGAGATTGCAAAGTTTTTACACAAACAGTCGTATCGTCAACCACCGCTTGCAAATGCCATGTATGATGCCGAGCAGCAGCGAATGAAAGAAATCATGGATGCACCACAGCTTAGCGCAGTGGAAAAAAGCAAATTATACTCTGATCAACTAAATCGGTTTTTGACATTCAAAAATAAGATGTTCCGGCTCAAGCTCCTGTTCAGACAACTCTACTAGTGCCTGCAGAGATACCACCACAAGCGCCTGTAATAGCGGAAATACCATCACCAGTGCCTGCGACTCCTAAACCTAATTTCCTTACGCCACCACCAACCGAAGGTGAACGACCAAAACTCAAGCGCAATTTTTGTCATAATTGGGTAGACTCTACAGACTGGAGGCCCCAAGATTTGGCAATGATGACCCCTGAACAAAGAGAAGGTTACGAACAAAGATTACTTTGCGAGAGGCCGAAATATATTCCAATGAAGCACGAATATGTTGTAAGATTATCACCAGAAGATAGACAAGAGTATGAGAACTCTTTAAAAATAACAAAAACACCTAAACGTTACGCTCTTAGAAGTAGACCGTACAAAATTTTGTAAAACGTTTTGAAGAAATAAATGGATTTTAAAACTGAAATATTGTGCAAACATTTACCTGCAAAGCCCGCTCTTTCCGCCCGCGCGATTTGTCTAACCCGCCCACCTGATTAGTGTACAAATATGTTGCACTTTAGTATATGCATGCACCCGCAAAGCCACGCGCCTGATTTTAAGGTATACACCTCCGTTAAAAATAATCACTATCTATCCATCGGGATACACTTAGTTATGCAATTTCGTATTACCTTAATCCCCTTAATAACCTACACGCCTGCTAATGACTTAGCAACGCATAACAACGCAAATTTGCAAAGTTTAAAACATGTTTATTGATACAAATAACAGACGATAGTGTCAAAAAAATATTACAACTGTTCTAATTCTAACTTCTACTCTTGATAAGCTAGCTTTTTTATGATCTGACTCGATCATCTTAACAGTATATATGTATGTAGGAGGATTGCTAAATAATGTTGAACAACATGCAAATATTGACCATAACGACGACGTTGACAACTCGGGATTAGCAACTGTTTAGTTCTGTTTAAAATATGTCTTGATTTTTGTGACGAATAGATTCCTAGCCTCGCTATAATTTTGTAAGCTATAATTTTGTAAACATACGAAAAATCCTTCAATATACCTGTGGAAATTTATCTCTTCCGAGTAAAGATACAGCTATAACTCTGCCATATATTAATTTCGATAACAATTTTGCCATGCGAGGGACACAAACTATTCATAGTAAGCCAAGATTAATCCCTCTATTGTATCACACACGTGGAGCGACGCTAAAAAATGCTTAGTCAGCAAGTTTTGTCCGTCCTTGTTTAAACTTGCCCACGTGACGTCATTGCATATAATTATGACGTATGTTAATGATGAGCGACGTCACTGCGCACCCTCATTTGTACGAGTATTAATTATAAATGAGGTGGTGGACACCCACCACCACAAACTCCACCACCTCAAACTCCACCACCTCACACCACCTCATCCACCTCCACCACCTCACACCACCTCATCCACCACCTCAAAAATCCGGCCCGAACGGCCCCTATATTACTACTCGCCTAATCCCTTAATTACCTACACGCCTCCTAATGACTTAGCAACGCATAACAACGCAACATTTGCAAAGTTTAAAACATGTTTATTGATACAAATAACAGACTATAGTGTCAAAAATATTACAACTAAAACTGTTTGCTAAACTCTTCTACAAGTTTTTTCTCCAAGAATCCTTGATAAGCAATTTTATGATCGGCCTCAAAACTTCTAAATCGTTCACACGCGTCGCCTTCACAGAATACACGTAACTCGGTGGGCAAGAGAACAACGCTTCAGCTACGGACTCGAGCGGATCTTCTGATCTCCAATGAAACAAATAGTTCAGTATACATTGTAGTTCGTGGTTCTCAGTGTTCTGATGTAGTTCCATCAATGAATCGACAAACGTAGAATCTGGATCTTTTTCCAGTTGCTGTAAATATTCGAGTACATCTCTGTCAACCGCCAGTTTTAGTACCCTCATTGCCTCAGCGAATTCATTCCAAACCTCAGCGAAATCATTCCAATACGCTTACCATTCACTCGTTCGATCGCTTGTAAACCATACATTTGCCATCGTTCGTTTTCGTTCATCATGAGGCAGTCATGTTGCCTTTGACTAGGATGACCGACTTGACAACCATTACAGGATTCCACACAAAGTCTTTCAACTTCTTGTGCAACTGCATTGCATATATTCCTTCCAATAACTTATAAGATGTGGCTTTTCCGTGCAGACACTCCATCGTATGGCTTTCACAGCGAAATGGCAATATAGCTATAGCAAGCGTTGTCTTTTGTACTGAAAATTCCGAGCTCTGCTTAATGACTGTTTCGGACATTTGGTTGCGTTACCTGTCACATTTGGCCCAGGCTTGCCCGCGTTAATTGGTCGCGCTACCTGGCGTTATAGATTTTGCAAGCGCATTATAAATTCCGCCAGAGTGTTAGCTGAACAAAGTGACGTCATAGATTTTGCATACTAATTACTACCGGCACCTAAGTTTGAATACTAATTACTTTCGTCCCCAGAGTGGGGGTATTACTACTGATACATGAGTTTGACCTTTATAATTGTCGCCTTGACCGAGCTATTTTTAAAACTATTGTTTATGTGAACTTGCAACCAATCAAAATCTTTCATGATGCTGATCAACCAATCAGATTTCCCGTCCACCAGATGGACGGGAATCCCACAGTTTAGACAGGTCCTATTTAAAATTAGGGCCTGAACTTCAGGTTATCCTAAAAGACAAAGTTAGCACACTTGCTAGAGGTCATCGGATAGTGAAAACCCTGAAAGACGAAGACCTCTTAATTCCATAATCCAGAACAAGCGTAGCAACAGTCGTAGCAAAGACATGAGCATAATGTTCCGACAGAGTCTCGGAGGCGTCAGCCAAGCAACGCGAATAGCCGAAGGGAAAAAAGGGTGGGGTAAGATGTTCCGAAAGAGTTTCGGAAGGATCGGTCGTTCTGAAACTTAGGGAAGAAAATCCCATGGCAAAGATTCGGAAACTTTAAGGTCGCTGGTCTTGAAATGTTGAGGGCCCTACTAAGGTCGGATATCCGGAAATTGTCCTGGCGGAAGTTCGGAAAATGTTTGGGCGCAGGTCCGGAAATTCTAAGGGCGGAGGTCCGGAAATCAGAAAATGTCCCAGAACTCTCAACTCTACACTACTGACGCTGTATGCGGTAGTATGTAATATAGCATGGTAATACCTGTTATAAACACATCTTGAACCTTTCACTGTGGTAGTATATATTATATAGCATGCAGGGACGTCGCGAAGCTATCAACATTGAGGGGGGGGGGGGTGTCGTCATGTTTTGACCAAGACTTCCCATGATTTTGACCAAGTCTTAAAATTTTTTCCCGGAAATGCTGTCGACGGGGGCGGGGGGGGGGAGGTCACAAAAATTTTTCGGACTAACATAGTCAAAAAAATTTTTCCGGACTAATGTAAGCGTATTCAAAATTTTTCAGCCAAAATAAGCAAGGCTCCCGATTTTTTCGCCGCAAACGTTACAGAAGCTTTAAAATTGTTAAAATTGCGAACCATTTCATAAATTTGAACAACTTCGACCATCTTTCATCCCAAACTTTTACCAAATTTTTCCGAGTTTTACCTTCAATTTTAATCAAATATTAGTTTCATTTTTACCAACTTTGGGCAAATATCAGTTCCATTTTGACCAACTTTGACCAATGTTTGAATTATTGGGGGTGGGGGTGTTACACCCCCCACACACCCCTTATAGCGACGTCCCTGATAGCATGGTAATATATGTCATAAGCACATCTTGAACCTTTCAATGTGGTAGTATGTATTATAGCGTGGTAATGCCTGTTATAAACACATCTTGAACCTTTCACTGTGGTAGTATATATTATATAGCATGGTAATATATGTCATAAGCACATCTTGAACCTTTCAATGTGGTAGTATGTATTATAGCATGGTAATATATACATGTCATAAGCACATCTTGAACCTTTCACTGTGGTAGTAGCACGGTAATACCTGTCATAAGCACATCTTGAACCTTTCAATGTGGTATCTTGGCAATCGTCAATAAGCCACCAAAATCGTTTATCATTTGCGAGACGTATGTTTTTCCACTCTGTGTCTCGAACATAGCTACAAGCTGCATTGAAATCACCCATAATAACGATATTCTTTATTTCCCATCTTTTAATTACGTCATCATAAACATCAACCAGTTTGTCAACTTCCCTCACTGCATCATCTGGTTTCGTGTGTATGGCGACAAACACCAGCTCACTAACAGCTGCATCAAAGAGGAACAAAAATATTAAAGTGACGGTGTAAATGTTTTGGGGCGCTTATAGAAAAGCTTTCGTATAATATATTCAAACATATTCAATAGAATAAGGTCACCCGAAATCTCGGGTCAGTCGAGGCATGATCTAGCTTAGGAGGGCCAGCTCAGTTCCCATATAAACGCAAAATGAAATTTAATAATAACAATGGCGGCATCTCGCCTAAACCGGGCCAGTTCGGGAACCCGGGCTGGCTCGCCCCATATAAACAGCCCCTAAAGGTAAATACACGTCTCTGTCAAACAGAGGTCAATATGACTTTTGGGATGGAGGGGTGTGATAAAAGAATAGCTGTATATAATTATATATTATGAATATGTAAATTAATGGATTATATAAGGAGCCCAGAGTTTGAAGCGAGCAGAAAAAAAAAACAGGACAAGCAAGGAAGGAGTTCCTAAACATTCAAAAACCGACGAAGACCTTCAGGAGAAGAACAACTTGGAAAGATATCTTGCTTTTGTTGGAAGTATACTGAAGCTCGCTGACTATATACGCCCAAGTTCATTTGAGATCGACAGAAAACCACCTCGAAGCGATTTAAGAATGTTCAGGTTGTCAGCAAGTTTCGTCACGCTTTTGTTCATAAGACATAGCCGTTAAAATTCTACACAAACAAGATACGACGCTGTTATATGTTTGATACTACGCGGAAAGTTAAGCGCTGTGGGCTAGCTGAAGAAAGAAGACGTAGCTACACTCTGTTGGACTCGGGTTTGTTAAAAAAATACTTTAGGAAATTAGATAACTCTTAGTAATTACAGGATTAAAACTTTTATGTTAATTGTAGTACATTGGGTTTTATTGACTTGGGTTATTGTGAACTGCAGCGCCCACGTCGGCGATAGAAATCGTCACAAGGGGATTCGTAGGCGTCAGGTCTTTTTTCCTGAAATATATGCTTGCCAAACTGAATTAATTTAAAAAATAGTCAAAACTAATGTTGAAAAACTCTGAATCTCTCAAATACCTCAAAACAAATTCTTGAATCAACTTAAACGACATTCTTTTTGTATACATAAAGCAAACATTCCCATAGCTGTCTCCCAGCTCTTATGAGAAACGTTTATGCCTGTGGGCCTAACAGTGTACTTTATAAACAACGCAGAATTTGATGTTAATTTACGAAAACTATCTGGAGAATTACCATCTATCAAAGCCCAACGTCTTTGGCAGGGTGGAAGAGGGGTTTGAATTCATTCATATTGACGTCAAAAACGTAATATTTGATCCTTCCCTTGAACCATAGTTCTATTAACTATGCTTAAACCTTGTAATCTATCTTTAATGCGTTCAATCATAGTTAATCTATAAACTATGATTTTAATAAAAACCCCAAAACTACTTGTACTTGCAACTGTAATTAACTGGTCTGCAAATAAGTGCAAAGCACGAGGTGAAAATTAGTCCTATTATGATGCCGGGGCTTGTCCTTCATTGTGCCACTCATGTAAACTGTTTCATAGATGTAAAAATATTTTCGCTAATCAACTATAGATTCCAATTCTGTCATAAATTCCATTGCACCTTTTGAGGCATGTTTCACACTTATAAATTAATAATTTATGAATTATGAATTAATTGTTCGTTTCATCATTGTTGTACCGTGCATGTATATATTTCTATACGATTTTGGCCCCGTTTACACTATACCAGATTACTTTTCATACCAGATTAATTTTTACTCCGAAGTAAAAAACAAGGGTGTTTACACTATGCCGCTTCGCTCTGTTGCCAGCTCATGTCTTTCACTGTCGCCATGGAAACAAGTGCAATATACCAAAATTTATTAAAAACAAGAAGTAACACCCGTTTTCTTTGTAAAGTATAACTCTGTTTAAAAAGCTTGACCACAAGACGTTGCTTCGTTTCGCTCTAATCCAAAATTGACGAGTATTTCTTTAAATTTTGCTCTTTCAAAAGCGAAAAGTCAATGTTATTATCGTTTTCTTTATTTGTATTCGGCAGAAGTAGTAAATGGTTGCAAGGCGAAACAAACAACAGCTATAAACTATTGTAAAAGCGAGCAAATAAAGGCGACAATGTTAAAACATACACGCCAAAACCGATTTTGTACCGAAGTTGTTTACACTGCTCCGGCACGTACCGGATTACTTTTCATATCACCTCCAAAGCGGAGTGATTTTTGCTCCGCGTCGCGTACCGGATTACTGTGGCGTAGTGTAAACAGCAGCCGAATCCGGTATGAAAATCGCTACGCTCCGATGCAATCCCGTATAGTGTAAACGGGGCCTTAAATATTGACAACTAATATTTGTATAGCTCAGTAGGTATCCTGGATAAATGTAATTATTATTATTTCCTCGGGCACTTTGGTTTACTATACATTTCTGTGTCACGTGCGTGGTAAACAGTTACGCGCCTAAACCTGGCCCAGTGCACGCCGTCGACGCACTCCTTAATAGAGACCTTACGATTATAGGACGGCAACGCGACGGCAACGGGTACCAATACAATAGACTATTGAAAAGAATTGAGTAATTACAATATATGAATAATTTAGACATTGTCCTCGCTCTGTTTACAAAGCCAAATCACAGATTTTCACGTCTTGATACAACGGCTGCATTCCAAGCCGCAACATGTACAACTTCAAACTGGGTTTAGCAGAACTCTTACCAACCATAACACCCATGTCTTCAACTTCTAAGACTGTATTAAATTCATACGATTGACTAGAAAATACATGCATGCAGAAACCCTCGCCTTGCTGACAAAACCATTGCCTGATTTCCCGAACATGAAGTATCTAAAGTAGTTGTCATGGTAACACGAAATTTTTTTAAGAATATTCTTACAAATGAAAAATCGCTTAATAATATCACTTTTAATTACAAAATTATCAATTTCCCAACATATATATGTTAGGTATGATATTATACGTAATATATAAGCTTCAATTTAAGGTAAAATCCAACCACAAACGCTACGCAAAACGTTTTAAAGTGTTCTTTATAAAACTAAACTGCCTTTATTCTTTAATTAAATGGCTTTATCGATAAACTTTGAGTTTGCAATAAAATGATTTCAAATTCTAGCATGCAAATAACTTTGCTTTCTTTTTTATTTAAAAAAATTCAATATAATAAAAAAGGGAATCAATATTAAAGATACACTGAAATGATATGCTGTCTTGTTTAGTTGTTTCATATACGCAAAGGCCGTCGGGCTTTAAAGCAATTATAAAATCAATATTTAAAACAAACTTACCTTCGTTAACGTCGGCTCCCTTCTTTTAGCCGATTCTTTCGCCATTTCTTTCTTGAAATTTACAAAATCTTGCAAAAATGCGAGCAAAAATGAAATATATTTGCAAGAAATTTATCAATCATCAAATAAAGAAATGTTTGCTATTTCGCTGTCGTCATGCAGTCGTTATAATGCAAACTTTAAATTGGACCAATCACAGTGTTTGCTATTCATGACAGTCCGCCATATTTTTGAGATCAGTGAGGATGACCACCCACGGTTGGTGACCCACGCCCACGATATTTGATGAACTTTAGACTTCGCTAATGCTTTCGTTTCCCCGGGTGTAAATAGCCGGGGGGAATTAGTACCCTCGCTTCGCGCCGTCGACTCGGGGATAATAGAGACCTTACGATTTTAGGACGGCAACCGCGACGGCAACGGCTACCAATACAATAGATCATTGAGAAGAATTGAGTAATTACAATAAATGAATAATTTAGACATTGACCTCGCTCTGTTTACAACGCCAAATCACAGATTTTCACGTGTTGATACAACGGCTGCATTCCAAGCCATAGCCTGCGTGCAGGCCCAAGGGAACTGATAGTGGGCCTGCAACCATCGCCCGGTATTTTGAAATACGCCCCTTTTCATAACACGCCCCATTCGCGCGTCAATTGTCAAAAAAGAACCAAAGACAGCACCCAAATATTAACAAACAAACTCGCATTAAAATTTGCGGGGGGGTTTTCTCTGCTTATTCAGAACACTAATAAACAATGTGTAAATGGCTGCGTTTTAACTCCAAAAAAACAAGCAACGCAGTCAGTAATTGCCAAATTTGCAAGTGCTCATTTTCAACTAAAATCGGAACAGGCAAATTAGGACGAATTTCAACAGAAAACCAGTCTCAAACTTCAAATCATGAGGGAAGTCGTGCGACCACATTAGGATTTATATTATGTGTGCTTCGCTGTCGCCATTGGCATTGTTATAAATAAATTGTCTCACTTATCAGATCGTGTGTGCAATTCTTGTTGGCGGCGGAAAGTACGAAATTTATTTCATTTATTTCATTTGGTAAAGAACTCTACAAAAGAAGAGAGCGTTCCGAGTCCAGATCGTTTCGTTTCAAACGGCAATTTAATACCGCCTTCTGTTTCGCTCTCTCAGCGAAGCCTTGTTAATCGCAAAGTGTTTCGAATAGGCTTACAGTCCTTACATGCAACTGCATCTCAACATCAACCAAAAGATAATTTTCTTGAGGAAGTGAGAACACATAACGTATCAACTGAAGTCTGTTTGAAATTAATAAAACTCAAGTAAAGCTTACTATACTTTACCCCAGTCGTAATTTGCTATTCCAACACCTCACGACAAGCAATCCCCATTGGCATAACGGCAAAAACATATCTTCCTTCAAGTAAACAATAAACAGTCTGTTCTTGTTCATTTGTAATCGAAAAGTAATCAATTTTCAAATTTTAAGCTTATCGAGAGCCTTTGTCTATGCCTTTGTGATGAATCACTGTTCCCTTGGGCCTGCATGCTAGGTTAATTAATTACCGATCGCCTCAGCTAGCCAATGGGAATTTAGCCGGCGGTTCGGCCGGCGAAAATCGAAAACATGGGGTGATGGTTGCAGGCCCACTATCAGTTCCCTTGGGCCTGCACGCAGGCTATCCAAGCCACAACAAGTGCAACTTCAAACGGGGTTTAGCAGAACTCTTCCCAACCATAAAACCCATGTCTTCAACTTCTAAGACTGTATTAAATTCATACGATTGATAATATACGACGAACTATCGACTACCATTTATTTGAAGGAGTTTGTTTTGGCCGTCGCCGTCGCGGTTGCCGTTCTAAAATCGTAAGGTCTCTGATATACGACGAACTATATTTACTACCATTTATTTGAAGGAGTTTGTTTTGGCCGTCGCCGTCGCGTTGCCGTCCTAAAATCGTAAGGTCTCTAATAGGGAGTTTACGAATGTGAGACGGCGACGTCAGGACGACGGCTATCAATACAATGACATGAATCCTACAAAAGAAATTAATAATTAAAAGTCTAACAGGAATTTTAGACGTCGTCCAAGCTCTCGTGACAACGGAAAAATGTATATTTTCACGACTTGCATAGTACGCTAGCATTGCACGCCGTGACAGGTAGTTTTTCTAGCAGCGTTTATCAACATTGCTCGGAGGGTTAAAGCTCTGTTTTACTCTTTCAAAACTATTTTAAATTGATACAAAAGTAAATACAAGACAATATTTTCATACAATCATTTATTTCAAACAGTTTGTTTAGCCGTCGTCCTGACGTCGCCGTCTTACATTCGTAAACTCCCTTAATGCGACTCAAGAGTGTTACTTAAAGTCGAAATTACAGCAAACATTGCATCGCTTCAACCGACCGTAGCAGTTTGTAAGGTTATTTGAAAAAGCGTCAAATATTTATTACAGTATCAAATTGCTTACCGCTCATTCTTGAGCTGAAATTTAGACCGCGTCGTCGAGACGGCCGCGTCGTAGATCGTAAACTTCCTATTGTGAACGCGGTGGTTTCAGATAGGGCAGAAAGCTTCTGCATTTTGTATCTAATTTTCTTTTTGGAAAAGGGTTTCTCGGAACATATGCCGATGTCAATAATATGCTGAACGCATGCAGTTTGGGATGATATAAAACATAATCCTTTTCACGGAATCCTTTCAAAGGAAAGCGATTGTATTCTCACCTGCTGAGGGAACATGGAGATGAACAACAAAAGGTTCTCTTTCAAAATCGTCATTTTTATCGACGTATGTGTAATTCGCCTTCATCGTTGTAATACTTTTCCTAAATCAATAAAGAATTTGCCAACTTTGCCATCGAATTAAGATTAAAAAACTTTAATTATCGTTGCTGTTACACAATTAACAGCAATGCCAATTAACGCGGTCCAAGTAAAAATTAATATTAATTTGATGCAACTAAATGCAAGACTACATACCTCCGCCAGGAATTAAGTTATGTAACATGCATATATTAAATTTAATCCCTGGGTAATGCCACAAATTTTTGCGTTAATACGTTCGCTTTTTTTAAATAATGAGATGATCAAGGTATTTTATTTACCTGTAGATAAATGCATATTGTTCCTTGCTCACTGATCGACCCAGTCTCTCGCTGACAATCATCTCATACTCGCTTGAACCGCTGCTCTTGGCGAAACTGCAGAATAAAAAATTGCGTTCATATCTTATCCAGATTTCGTCAATGCTTGTGAATTTTTTATTATTAATATTACAATATGTCAATAATATAACATTCATTGAAGGCTCAGGCAACAGGACAAATAAAGTCCTAAATTAAGTCCTGCCTGACATGCAACATTACAACACTATCAAACTAACCAATTCGCAGATTACACATCATTACATCCGTACATAAAATTCGCTAAAATGTACTTTTAGAAACAACAATTTAAAATGCAAGAACGACACTTAGAACAAAATGTTTTCCAATTCCTTGGTCTATCGACATCAAAACATGCATTAAGTTTCTCAGTATAATGAGAAATTGAGTTTAGTTTTAAGCGACTGAACAGTATAAGAGAGGATTTTATATCGTCGGATTCCATAGGGGTACAATCCTATATATTGAAAAATAGATTTCGAAAAGATGTTCTGTTCAAAAGATGTTCTGTTTAGAAGATGCACTGTTTTGTTTTATTTTAATTTTCATGTTTTGTGTAATTTTGATAGCTTCACCGAGAATACACATAGTTAATAAATAATAAAAATGACTGAACAAAAAAATTTGGCAAGAACATCGCAACAGCATTGACATATTGTATGCTTGGGTGGTAAACACCAGCTGCAGATTGTCACCACTAAACTTGTGATAATGCTCCAAATTAGTAATATTAAATATTTCCTAATGCGATGGTCTGAACACCAAATTTCGGGAGAAAAACCAGGAAACAAATTTTGTGCCGACTTCGACGGTGTCGAATATGTCCGATAAAATTGTTTCCGCAACTGAGGTTGAAATAGGTGTATTTCTCGTAAGAATTCACAGAGTTTTATCAACAACATATTTTGTTCTTGACTTACTTGTTTACATTTTCCAAAAGTATCTTTATTGCATCTTCTCCAGAATCTCGAATCTCTTGGATCAATATGATGTCATAACGATTGATTATCTGCAACGTCAACAAATAATCATGTCTAATAATATTGAATGAATTTATTATAACGATTTATCATCTGCATGAAGTTGAGGGATATAATTACGATAGCTAAACATCATAGATTAGGGAATGAATAGATGGCTCACTCCTTTGATGTTTTTGACGCTGCCGGCACCCACGCATGCATGTTCTTGCCAGAGTAATGGCGGCCTAGCAAGTAACTGTAATAAAATGTATTGTGAAATTGACATCGGTGCTACTAAATCCTGTATTTTTATAATTCTGAAATATTTTTTCATTAAACCCCCCGAAAGCGGAAAAATACAGGATTTAGTAGCACCGATGTCAATTTCACAATACATTTTATTATAGTTACTTGCTAGGCCGCCATTACTCTGGCAAGAACATGCGTGGGTGCCGGCAGCGTCAAAAACATCAAAGGAGTGAGCCATCTATTCATTCCCTAATCTATGTAAACATTAAGCCAATATAATATCATTACTATATTGATATTAGTTAACAAATAGAACTCCCCTCGCTGCCACGCGCTATATCTCTATTCCCCAATCTAACCTAACGGAACAGGTGGGGAAATTGTTTTAGAGTGTGGAGTGAAAATGAGTTTATGTTCGCAGCTTACAATCACAGCACCTACAATCCTTCACAAAATATATTGAGACTTGCATATTTATCTATAAAATCAGCAAATTCATACCATCAGGAGCTCGTCCTCCCCCCCTTCAAAACAATGTTGACAGTTATTGCATTGTGCTACACAACTTCAACTCGATCACGAGCAACATTGCCCTTTAGGGGGGATGGGTACGTGGATACTATATCACATGGGTCGATGGATACGATATCACATGGGTGGCCTCCAGCCTAGTCCCAGGCTCTCTCTCTATTGGCTACTTTGATATATTTAAATAAGGGCTTGTTCATATGGGCAAAAGTTATCCCGGTTAACGAGAGAACTTTTCGACTAGCCAAATACTTTTGTTCTGTTCATATGGAGAAATATTATTCCACTTACACGACAAAAAGTTATCCCGCTAAGCGGGAAAGTTGTGTTCATATGGGGAAAACATTATCCCGGTCACCGAGATCTCGCCTGTCAACAAGCGAGATCTCGGTACACGGGAAAACTTTTCGTCTCATATGAACGCAATGTAACTTTTTATATTATTTTCGTAAGGCGAGATCTCGCTCGTAAACCTGTCGAAAAGTTTTCTCGCTAACCGGGATAACTTCTGCCCATATGAACAGGCCCTAAGTCTTAAAGGTTTCATGCCTGGGCGTGCTGTGCGGAACGCTTCAGCGAGAGAGCCTAGCAGATTTCGGTAAAATGATCCCTGATTTCAAAAAAGTGGTCCCTGGCCAGGTTACCAAGCATACATATTGTAAATAGAAAATGTTATGGAAATTTCCTTTGCGTTTATAATTAAGTCATTAGTTTTGCTCTAATGCTGTCGGAACAATGAAATAGGCAACATTTCGCTACCATACGGTCAGAATGGAATAACGGGGTAAATAGTTGACTCGCATCTAAGGACGTAAACGAGCTTATATTCAGTTATAAAATTTGCATAGCCGCCAAAAATCTCAAATTTGATTGGTTACACAAAGGATATGTGCTAACAAGGTGCATAATAGTGACCTAAATGTAGATTATGTTGTTATGAACTGATCTTAAAGCCGGTTTTCCACTAGGCGGAATTTTGCGCGCGGAGCGGAATTTTTCTTTGTCTTTTCTAATTAGTTCCACCTGAGGAATGACAAGACAAAGAAAAATTCCGCTCCGCGCGCAAAATTCCGCCTAGTGGAAAACCGGCTTAAGTACCCAGATCATTCGGCATTGAAGTAATGACTACAAGATTTAAAAAGACATGTCACAATTCGACGTACATTATAATGTTCAAACATTGTTGTGCCGGGACAAAATTTCATTCGCATTACACGTTGCATGAAACAAATTTTGTAGAAATTGCATGAATATATGAACATGCAGAACCGTCAACTAAAGAATAAAAGAATGATCGAATAGATATACAAGCGAACTCACTTCTAATATGCAACTCAATGTCGATTATGTCGTAACTCGTTCACTCCTTTCAGGCTAAAGGCAGTCAATCTTAAAGGAAAAGCGGCGAATAAGCTACATTAACTAGTAACGAAATTTTCCTGCGGTTTCGTTTAAGATATACAAAAGTTTAACGCATACATTTCACAATGCCGCAAGTCACAATACTATATATACTGTTGGGAAATATAGTATTTTTAATGTCACTAGATTAGTTCATATACGCATAGCTTAATTATATGCGAGCTTTTGCAGTACAGACTGCAAGCCTGCTACACAAACAATTTGAGCCATGCCTCCAAGAGTGCAATTAGACAAGCCTGAAAATTAATTTGTACTGCATGCTGAACGAAGTATGCTTCGCGAAATGTACAATTTTGCCAGGCATGCAGCTCGAGTATAGCTATATTTTCTATATCTTTACAAATTGTCCTACGTAGTAATAGTAAAGACTAAAGACAAATCTCATTGGGCAGGAGTAACAGTGGGTTGCGAGCACAATCTGTCAAAATGACTATCTGCATATGATTTACTACCTATATTTCATGCATGACCATGCAAATTACAAAACGAATAACTCAGAACAACATATTTATCATACAGGTAATGCAACAATGTTTGGTCTAGCGTTGATCACAACTTGCGATATAACACGGCCAACGCGGATTATACGACCATTGCTCAGGCTCAGTATCGTAAATTTGTATATAAATTTATTGCAAACTTCCATCTCCTATGATTTTGGGATTATGTGAGATGAGCTCAAGCAAATCTGGTCGCACATGCGCAAAATATCAATCTTACTGATTATAGACACGTTACACACACGTTACACCACACGTCACATAATAATCTGTAGTAAAATAGAGATACGACACGTTACACACGTTAACGTGTAGTGTAACGTGTCAGCGTTTGCTTAATGAAGCCAAGTGCATAAAATTGACAAGAACTAATCACTTTAGATTAGTTTGTGAGCATCTGACAAGCACAACAGCACACACTGCAGTATAAATGACAAAGTTTTCTCATTTTTCGTCATATGGCTAGGCTGAGGAACTGTCATATAATGATTCCCCACGCCATTTCCACGCCATGTAGTACGTCAGTTTCAGTCCCTTTATATGCCATCACCGCGCGGTATATCACGAATCAGCGCGCGTCAAGTAGCGTTGGCATTGGCTTCACGTTTCTCCCGCATGTTATTGTTCCAGATAAAAGACATGGTGTTCACTGATTTAAACTTGGAGCTATGGTGCTTCAATCACGTGACTTTATGCGACGCAGCCGAATTGCGTTCAAGTCACTGAAGCTAGGTTTGTTGGCACACCATGGGCAACTTTCAGAGGGCCTCTGCATTCCCATGAAGCCCACGGACAACTAAGTGTTGCCATTCCACACAATTCATTCCTGACTTCACAAAGATAGTGAACTGATGAAAATTTAGGATGAAAATGCTTCAGCTCGCCCTCTATGCCCAAGCTTGCAGGATCAAAGTGATATTTCTTTAGTAGGACCTGTGCATTATCAGACATGTTTCCTATCAATTTATGCGGACATCCGTACACCCGCTGTTTCCAGAGCTCCTGTCTGTTAGTGTTGCAGCTGCACAGCACAATATCCATGATTTGCGTAACAATATTCAATATTAACACCGAGTAAACGGAATACAATATTACTGTTTATATTTTTGTTGTCACGAACCTTTTTACTGGCTAGAAAGTACTTTATTACCAGACTGCAACTTTGAGAAATATGCATCATGACATACTCCAAATCAGGGCCGGATTAACGTTCCGCGGGGCCCGTGGCATATTATTGGAGCGGGGCCCCTTGATCCCCCCCCCCCCAACCGCCCAACGGCAGTTTAGACCCTGAATTCAGTAAGATTAAAAATTTGTATTTCATGCGTTGAAAAGTTTCCTGTGTATTTAGATAGATAGATAGTATATTTGAACTTCCATGGCAGCATACACTGAATTGCAGAAGTTTTACATTATGATTAGGTAGATCAACCGGACTGACGTGAAGCAGACCGAGGTAGACTTTGAGCTTACAAATGGCGCTTGAGCTGCCGCTATTAGTCCATACCTCATTAATGATCTGCCTCCAGACCTTATGTGCCTAACCCACCCTGTCAACTTTCCCTGTGGGAAGAAACACGGAGTACCCGGAGAAAACCCACGACTTTCGGCAGAGCGTTGACTTACTCTTTTCACATTAGGACTGGGTTCCAGTCCTCATTGAGATTCGAACCTGCGACCTTAGAGCTGAAAGGCAAGTACGCTAACCACTTCGCCACCGAAGCCCCTTCTACATCAATAATTTGATCGAACTGAAATTCAATCCAATTTATACCATTAACATTATTATTATTTACACGGGAAAAATAGCTAAACATGATACATAGCGTCCATATAAACTTCTGCCGTCTTCCACGAAATTCAACATTTATTTAACAGCTTGCTGCAAATTTTGAAATTTTCTGAACCCTATTATTTTCTGGCCTCGCGATCGCTTTTTGGAGCCCCTTGCTCATAGAAGGAACAAAAAATTTTGTTTGCGGGCCTGCTTTTGGAGCCTCGCTTTTTAAACTTTGGGGCCTCGAGGTGTTTTTAGTTTGGGATTTCACTTGTGGGGACTTGGACTCTTTGGGCCCCCTGTTGTTTGGATCCCGCGCTAAAACAGGGAACAAAAAATCGTTCGGGGTCCCGCACTTAATTTGGGGCCTCGATTTTTAAATCTTGGGGGCGATAACGTTTTCTGAGGACCTTGGGCTCTTTGGGGCCCCGCGCTGAAACACTAAAACAGGGAACAAAAAAAAGAAACGTTTGGGGCAGTTTTTGGGGCCTCCAGTTTTCTGGGGGAATTGGGCTCTTTGGGGCCCCGCACTGGCGCACTGTTTGGGCCCCGCGCTGAAACAGGGAAGAAAAGAATTCAGAAAAAATATATGAGAGTAAGCGCGGGGCCCCCAAAAGCGCGGGGCCCGTGGCATATGCCGCTTCTGCCATATGGTTAATCCGGCACTGCTCCAAATAAATGATCTTGTGCTTAGATTTCATATTTCAGTCATAAACAAGATTAGAAACTCAGTATACATATACCGAGTACCTGGCTTTGTTATATCTTGAGGGCACAAAGTGCTTTATTCGGATTTTTTATGCCATTATAGCTGCTTTATTCGGCCTTATAGTCCGAGCTTGTTTTAGGATAGTACACTACTACACTAACTGATAACACTTAGTTATATTCATCATTGCTAACTCAATACTTCACTCTGCAGCACTAGAGTGAGCACTAGAGTGGCGATTATGACACAAAAGAAAATGCAGCGGTACGATCAACCTCGTACCCAGGATCTTTCTTTGGGAAAGACCCTGGCTGCGGCTGGTCACGTGCCTCATCAAAAATTTAGCGCCCGAGGGTGTGTGGGGAAAGTATCAAATTACATCAACATCTGTCAACATGCTTCCAGTGGGATATTCGTTAAAAACATAAATTTTGCGAATTATTACGTTCAAAATACTTGCTAATTTTTGTTTATTTTCTTTGCTTTGAATTTACAAGAACATTCTTAAATTCTTACTTACAGTCAAGTCAAGAAACCAAGCAAATCGTTACTCGTAGTGCTCGAGTCTCGTGTTGTTTAAATATTCAATGCATGCTCTCTTCACACTCGAGCGCGGTTATAAAAAACGTTTATTGTAATGTTTTTTAAATACGCCATTACATTCGTCCTTTCTTGTAAACGTTGATACGCTTTGCACTGATTCACTTGTTACTACGCGTCTTGTTTAAAAGATTTTTAAAAGAAACAGTATTGTCTAGGACTGGCCCAATATTAGCAAATGTAAACATTTGATAATAGCCGGACAGAGAAATGTCCATAACTCCAAGGCATAAGCATAGAAGAAATTTCAGTTATTGATTTATCTGGATTTAGTACATAATTCGTATTCGGTAATTATAGTAAGACTAGCTTTAGCCTTTTTCTTGGTCTCTATTAATCATTATATTGTGTTAACATACTATAATATATATATCACAAATTTACAGTGTCAGATGCGCACAGACCGTCATTGGCGTCATATACGAACATAAATTTTCGAGTTTTCTACTTCTACTAACATTTTTAAAGTTTTCATTGTGAATCACCTGTTTATCTCTAATTCATTAATCATTTGCTACTTATAATTATTTGATAGTGTCGTATAGTGAATAATGCGTTTACACACAAGCAATCTGCAATCCTGGATATGATATAGACGATGCAAGCTGTCCATTAAAAAATAACGGTATTCTATTTCACAAAGCAAAAATTTAAATCTCACTTGTATTATTAAGAATGCATATAAAGCAAATGTCAAAACGAAAGCTGTTTACAAAATTTATAAAGGTGGTGAACACTATACTAAACAGTGCTCATTGAAAGACATTTATAATATAGTGACATATATAAATTTGTCGTTTGACTTATCTTTGGTGTATGATTTTAATACAGTAGATTTTCAACAGACAGCTATACTTTGACATATACCATGATCGTTGGTTTCAGCAATGCCAAGGGCCAATTTTATAGTCTTTTGACGGGCTTTAAGTTTTTTTGTTAAGGCCTTTAATATATAGATCAACAATCTGGATACAGTTGGCGATATTTCGGAAATCAAAAGATCTCGCTATTTCGTTGCAATTCCACATCTCATCAATAAATAAATTCTTTTGGTCCGAGTATCAGGATAGACTTTAATACTAAATAATAACAATCACACTGTTCGGTCTAAAGATATATATTTTCTTGTAGGTTTAATATTGCCACGCTGCACAAGCGGCAAGCCGCCGCAAGCGTGCTTTCTTTGGCAAGTCTATAATGAAATACGATCCAACTTGCTTGAATTGTAACTCGACACCAGATTATAGAGTAGAACATCACGATATAAATATTAATTTAAGAGTTCTCTTTACGATTTCTTGTTGCAAATTTACAGTGAATTTCATCACCGAAAGTTGCAATTTTAAAACGCTACAAACACGCTCCTTTCCCACCCCTCTCACAGTTACAATTAAATTTACCTCCCAGAATCTGGGAGGCACGTGACCAGCCGCAGCCAGGGTCTCTCCCAGATGACAGAAGGAGAGACCCTGGGATCGAGGTTGCGGTACGATAAGACTAAAGGTGAAAAACCTTTAATCTTATCAGAATGAATGTGTAGAATTTGGCATACAAACCTTGACAAGAATATCACGAACATTATTTTTTGAAATCTTTGTCTGTCCAAAGACCTGAACATTAAATGCAGCCACTTTCACGGCATTAACTGCCTCAGAGGTCGATATTCCCAAGGTTGTGATAACAGCCAGTATCGTAATGAAGTACGCCATAATGTTTTCGAAAATTCCAGTCGATCTCACCGAAACTGTGAAATGTAAATGAATAAGTCAATTAAGCGCGAGGTTTCCATTGCCAGAATCCTGGCTATGGAAGCTAAGAAATTCACCATATACAGTAAACACTCTATCCCAATCAGACAACATGAATTTGGCTTCAATCGTTTGTTATGCATAGCCTATGTCATATAAACCAATAGATCCTGAAACTATAATTGGAAGATTTTAGCCCATGAATTTGTGCATTATCAGCATACCTGTACACAAATGAATATTTTACATATATTATATGATAATGCAATCCCGTATTAAGCCCCCAGTAACCTCACAAAAGCCTCCCTTCCGAAAATAAGCTCTCTTCAAAAAAAAATGGCTGTCAATATGGGCCATGCTAGTCCAGAGAACATGCTGGATTTCTTTTCAGGGCTAGTTTGTCATTTGCCTCACAGGAGTCAGGCTAACCTGGCAAGAGTTGGTAACAAATTTGTGTGAAATGTAGTTATTTGTTAATGGAAACAGCTTCAGAAGACTTATATTAATTAATTTCTTACTTCCTTCGGCCGAATTGTGTTTTATAACATGATTTTTTAGAGCTGGTTGACCAACTTATGACCTTTAGTGTGAGACTCCCAGTGCATGCAAGATATCAATTTGCTCAAGCAGTAGCTGCGGGCCAGTCAATTCGACCAGCCTGGTTCATGTGAATGTAATGTCAAAAATATATAAAATTAATATGAGGCAGTATCTCGGCAAGGACAGGTATACATTTAGCCCATATAAATGGCAAGACCAGCTTGCGCGGTGTGATAATATACTACAGTACGGCCTGGTTAATTCTAGAGCTGTGCGCCGGAGTACCGGAGCCGGAGCTACAGCATATTTTGCCGGAGCCGGAAAACTCCGGCAAAAACTCTGGTAGCCAAAAATATGAAAAATTATAAAATAACCTTTTAATAACGCCTACGCTGATTGGTTAAAAAGCGAAAAATCCCGTGTTTCTATAACGCTATAGAACACGGGAATTTTCCACGAACCTCAAAACAACACACTAAAACAAACGTTTTCGCCTGAAATATCGATTAAAAATCTTCGTCAACCTGAAATTTTGTTAAACAAGCAATGGAAAACACTTACCAAACGTTTTTTCGCTTTATATTTTCTTTAAAACAACTTTTTCAGCGTGTTTTTTTCCATAATTTTGCAGTCGGCAAAACTGAAAATTGATGCCGGTATTGTTGCTAGGCAACATTTTCTTGTTATTGTGTAATGAGAATATACTTTTTAATCGTGTTAAAAATATTGTTTTTGTGTTATTATCGCAAGGTTATTTAATAAAGGAAATAGAAAACATTTTTTCCTGTGTTTCTATAGCGTTATAGAAACACTTGTGCTAGTTTGGGAGAACTCGAAATAACGTGGAAACACTCGCACTACGTGCTCGTGTTCCCACTGATTATTTCTCGTTCTCCCAAACTAGCACGCGTGTTTCTAGAACTCTTTAGTATAAATTTCCAGGTGACTATTGATTATTCTGCATTCTGATTGGTCAAGATTCACTGTCTCTGAAGTGATAGTCACTGGTCAGTGACTATAGCTTTTTTTTCAAAATGGCTGCTCGTTTTACCGTAGTAACAGAATAGGAAATTGCCAAAATTAAAGAAGATAGCATTCCGAAACCCAAACAAGCTACAAAATATGGTTTAAAAATATTTCAAGGTAAAATATTAAACTTTACGTGCTTTTATTTGGAAAAAAACTGGCTTAGTCGCAACGCGACACAGAGCCGTGTCTGAGATTTAATTTTGTAAACAAACTATTTATAATGAAAATAAATTTATTTGAAGTGAATTTTTATAAAGTTGTGTAGAAAACATTTTCCGTGTTTCTATTTAACAATTAGTCGCCTCAGGCTCGGTGATTACAAGCCTATATTCACTTCGCCTTCGGCTCAGTGAATATAGGCTTGTAATCACTTCGCCTTCGGCGACTAATTGTTAAATAGAAACACGGAAAATGTTTTCTATTTCTTAATTATTTCATATTTCAATGAACTTTTGGTAATGGAAAAATTAAGTTGAATGATTTATAGAGTATGAGAGACCTTAAGAGTCTTAAGATTGACGTTTACGGCAAACGTCAAACCGCTAGCGAAGTTTTTGATTTTACTATACTATTATAGCTTTTACACCATTTTTGAAATATGTCAAACAATTATTAAGCTTGTGCTCTTTAGGAATGATCATTACTATAAAATTTAATTACTTGCTCCGATCCGATTCGTGGCTTCGAAAATTCCGGAAGCGCATTGCTATGGCATGTAGTAAAACACTGACTACCGGAACACCGGAACACCACCGGAACACCACCGGAACACCGAAACACCACCTAACCCTAACCCCAACCCTAACCCCCAACCCTAACCCTAACCCCAAACCCTAATCCTAACCCTAACCCCAAACAAAATGGTGGTGTTCCGGTGTTCCGGTGGTGTTCCGGTGTTCCGGTAGTCAGTGTTTTACTCATTGCTATCGCTTTTGATACAAATATCTGCTGACTCCGATGTATTTGGGGCAAAAATACACTCTGCCATGCGGTTTTACTTTCTACAATTATAAACAAGCACCGAAGCACGTATATTTGATAAGTAAAGGAGAAAGTTCAAAAAAGAATAAAATAAATTCTGAAATTACACTGAAATACTTTCGCCTGCTTTTCCTTTTAAATATGAAATTTCCTTAAAATTGCCGGAGCAGGAGTTTTAAAATGTTCCGATTGTAGCTTCAGGATCTGTTAAGGGTTTGTTTACATGATATGGGCTAGGCAGCATGGAACCCTGACGGCAAATTCATGATGCCTGGTTGGGATATATAGTGTTCACCGTATATAGTGAATTTCTTGGCTTCCATAGCCAGGATTCTGGCAATAGAAACCTCGCGCTTAGCCAGGATAGTAGCATGATGGGATAGGACATAATGGCAAATGTCATCTGCCGCCTAGCCCAAGTAATGTGAATAGGGCCCAATTGTGACCAGTGAGCCAGATGAAGTAAAAACAATGAACTCAAGTAGATTAATGCCTGGGTCTGGCTTAAAATTACCATTAAAACACTTAAATGGCCATAACACCTTAGGGAATCCATTTTTCGTGGGGAAATTAACAGTGCTTGACCACAGTGGTCAGAGCTTGACACTTAAACATTTACGGTTTCCATGGAAACATGTCACGTAACATTTTGGTGATTTTAAAGGAAAATATCGTGATCAATTTTCAACAGCGTTGCGGACTCGGAAAATCGTAATAAAGGATACTATTATTGCCGTCATTCTCCGAATGACCAACCCGATTTTCCGAATATGTTAATTCTACAAAAGTTGGGGGGTTAGCCCCCCCCCAATACACCACCCCCCCCCCTCGCTACGGCCCTGAGGAAACATTTTAGTCGTATCAAGAGTCTTTGTATTCGGAAAAAAGGATAAACTTTGTATCCGGAAACAATTGAGTTAGGAAGAATTTGGCGTGTAAATGTTTTCCTCAACACAACACTTCCGGCGGCTATACGTCAGTGCTTTTGTCGCCTGTTGATGCCTTTTAATTACCTTTTTCAGGATAAGTTACAAGTGAGTTTGCTACAAGTGAGTTTGATTATAAGATAACAAAGTATACAATACATACAACGGAGTACATAATACGACACAACAAGTATTACAATACGTAGTATGTTGTACATTGCAGTATTTAACAATTGACATTATACTTATACACAGTAAAATACAGTACAGTTATACACACAATATCAACAAAATTTACGACGTGTCACTAATTCTGTTTTTGACTAATGTTTTAAAGTACTCGGAGGAGTTTCTGCAATAATCTTTAAATGTATCGCAGTTTCGAATTTCTTCAGGTAAAGAATGGAACACTCGAGCTGGTCGATCTTGGAAGGTTCCAGAGATAATAGGGACTACTAGACGCCGGGCAGATGATGATCGTAATGTTCTTATAGGAATATATTCCTCTAATTTTAAGTATGAAGGCCAGTCATCACAATTCATTGCTTTGTATGCTAATTTGGCAAGATGATAATTCCTACGTTCCAAAATTGGAAACCAACCGAGAGACATGACATCAGTGACTCTAGCGTACTTATTAAATACAAAGCCAGCAGCAGCGAACTGCACTCGTTGTAAGCGTTTTAACAGGTATTCTGGTACTGGACTAGACACGACATCGTTGTAATCAATTTTTGATAGCACCAGACACTCCGCGAGTTGCTTCCGAATTTTAAATGGTGCCAAATGTTTCAATTTTCTCAAGACGGATAATGTCGCGTAACAACTTGAGATCTTTTTGTTTACATATCTTTTTGTTTACATCGTGCAATGTAGTACCAAGAAGAGCCGCACGTTTAGTTCTTTTAAGTTCAATTCCACTAGCATGAAGATGAGCAGAACGATCTTCATCAAGTTGGTGCACACGAGAGAGTTGACTAGTCGAGAAAAGCATGACTTTTGTTTTATTGGGGTTAAGAACAAGGTTATTAGAACTAGACCAGGTGGAAAGTTTATCTAGATTGGATTGAATTTTCTCTTCACATGACTTTATGTCAGCTGGCTTACAATGTGCATAGATGGTAGTGTCATCGGCATACTGATGTGAAGATATAGAGTCGTCAAGGTTTTCAGAGAGATCATTGACATATAGGTTGAAGAGAACTGGACCAAGTATAGACCCTTGTGGAACTCCAAAACAAACGTTAGTTGTGTTTGACACTGCGTCGTCTATCTGAACAAACTGTCGTCGACCAGTCAGATAGCTTGTGACCCATTTTAGATATTCTTTGGAGAAACCTTGTGAATGGAGTTTTCTTAAGATGGTAGAATACGACACAGTATCGAACGCTTTTGAGAAATCTGCGAGAACAGCTATTGTGACTTCACCTCTTTTCATAGCTCGCTGAATATCATCTCGCATTGCCAACATAACTGTCGTAGTGTTGTGACCTTTGCGGTAAGCACTAATGGATTGATTAAGTACTCCAGTGGTTGTATTGGTTACGAAATCAGACACTTGGCGGAGAACGAGTCGTTCAAAGATTTTAGATAGGCTTGGCTGAATGGAAATAGGACGGAGATCGTTATTCCATGATATATTCTGAACTTTTGAAATGGCGCAGATACGAGCGATCTTCCAAGGTGAGGGGAATAGCTACTTCGATATGCAGTTATTGATAATATATGTCAGAGGTGAAGCAAGCTGCTCGGCTATCATTTTGATGTATTTGACAGGAATGCCATCAGGACCACACGAGCAATCCGAGCGCAAATTCTTAATTTCATTCAAAACTTTTTTATAACTAACTTCTCGAAGGTGAAATGCATTAGTTGAATCATCTGGTAAGGTATTAATGAAAGACCACAAGTTTTGAGTTGGCTCAGGTATTGCACCAGTGACACGTTCAGTAGTAGAAGTAAAGTGGGTGTTCAATTCATCAGGATCAATTCGAAGAGGTTTAGGATTTGGATGAAGTATTCTGTGTATAATATTCCACACCTTTTTTGGATTTTTGGACGAAACAGCTCGTTGATAAAAATCACGCTTGGCGGATTTTATTTTACTTTTGAGTTTATTTCTAACATCGCGATAGCGCGATTTGAAGATTTCATCGGCGTTGTTTTTACAACAATACTCTGGGCGCCAGAATTTTGTGACGTTGTTAAAGGGTTTTTGAGACGAATGGGGAGTGCATGCACGTACCGGAGGGGGGCGTCTGCAGAAATCGGGCAATTCTACTTAAAATCTGGCAAATGATAAAAGGGAAGCGCTGTGGGTGTTAAAAGGAAGGAATTTGTAACGTTGGGGAAATGTTTTAACTGTGGGTCCCCCCTCCTGCATCGAGAAAATAATAAGTTTATCCCGTAAAATGTTTGGAGTTTGTCGGGCCGTTTTGCACCAAAGTCAGGCAAATGTTTGTCCGCCCCCTAATCTTTTCCCTCCCATAAGTCTATGGGTAGTCTTTTCCCTCCCGCAAATCAATCTTTTCCCTCACGTAAGTCAATTGTTGTCAATCATCGTCCTAGACTTTTCCCTCCCGTAAGTCAATTATTGAGGGGCCAACAGGAATAGGTTCTCAGAACACGTCAGACGAATTAAGGAATAAGAATCGAAATCTCTGATTAGCAGTGGCGTAGCCAAGGATGGGCGAGGAAGGCGACGCAAATTTTTTTTCCGTAGACAGTCGGACTCCTCATTGATAGTCGGACGCATCATTGACCCACGCCCTTAGACAAAACATTCAGCGGATACTCTTATTAGATGCGCCTTCCCAGTGTGTCTTGCGCACGCAATTGGTGATTTCAAAATATTGTATTGCTTGGTTGAGATGTCAAGATACAGTTAGATTAGCATTAGATCAAATTCTCATGCTGTAGGTATATTTTAGTGGATACGCGGATACGCAGTCAAGTAGCTATTTTGAGATTAAGGCGACAGTTAGTTGGCATTAATAGATTAAATTCTCATGCTATACAGAGCTTAAATCATAAATGTGGTGTAATATGTAAATATGTTCGTCAAAACCGGACAGTGGTGTTTGACAGATTATGATTAATTAGCGTCGCTGGGCGAAAAAAAATTATATTATAAAGCATACTAAGCATAATATTAAACATTAAAAGTCTTGAATGATATTTCCTTTATAGTATCAATTCGTAATATTGTCTTGGTAATTAGTTTGTGGAAATTAGAACGAGGCAATAATATCTGGTATATACGTATCCAGTGAAATAGTGGCCGGGCTACATGATATGATATTACTAGTGGACTGGTATTCTGCAATACTTCTATTTGTTTTTAACTCGCAATAACAGTTCTTGAGTATTTTCGGAACCAGAAAAACAAGTTTGTAGATTTACAATGGTATCGCGAAGCAAATCGTTCATCTTTCTGGCGTGGTCGAAGAACATGAACGTGGAATGATGGATATATGGTGCACCAGTGGGTTACACAGGGTACGAAGGGATCCATCGATAACGCGCAGAGGCCTGGACGCGGATCAATGATGCGTCCGACTATCAATGAGGAGTCCGACTGTCTACGGAAAAAAAATTTGCGAAGGCGACCGCCCCCCCCAGGGAA